TGTCAGACGTGGGGAGCTGAAGAAGGAGCAGCCCGAGGGGGAGAGATCAGAAAACGCGCTGTTATCGCCCGGTCTCAGCCACGTTTCTGTCAGCAGCAGAAAGTCCAGAGAGTTTGCGCAGAAGAAATCGTGGAGAATAAAAGTTTTATTTATGACAGATCTAGTGTTCAGAAGAGCCATCCGGATGGAGCACTGGCTGTTATCCTGGGATGCGTGGCCAAAGGAGCGGAGGTTCTCCTGAACCCTGCCACGCCTACAGATCTTTGCACGCCGAAGACCAGGAAATGCGCCGCTGCCGGTGTTCGTATCCACGACGTGTAACCAGCTGTATGGATATTCCATGGGGCATCGTATGTCCACAAAGTTGTATTTCCTGAGAATCTTGCGTGAAGACTGGAATGAAGAAGAGGCGAAGTGATCCCGAAGCTTCACAAGCAACCCACCCCTCCTGCCGCTGCAGGCGACCACAACACAAGGATTCCGTAGAAATGGAGGTATGGATGCCAGGTGAGGTGGAGGAAAAGTCTTGGATCGTCCACAAAGGTCATGAAACGGTACTTTTCCCACGATGGAATTAATATTTAAAAGTGTCTGGCGGTCATAAGTAAACAGTGATGACACAATCTGAACAAAAGTCAGGAAAAATAGCACAAGAAGTAACAACTTGAGGAGAGACAGACGACAAGCCACGTACAACGGCGGAATGAACAGTCATTCCTCTGGGATCTGTCTCACTTTGACTGGCATCGTATTCTGTTAACTGATGACGTGAACTCTGCTTGGAACTATTTCCATAATAATTTCATTTATTTCCTGAACATATATGCTCCTTTTCGTCAGTTCAGAATAAAGGGACGAGACAGCCCCTGGTTTACTCCAGAGCTAGCTGACCTCCTGCACAGGAGAGATCATCTTTGGGCTGCAGCGAGAAAATCTGGCTCAGACACTGATTGGTTGAGTTTTCGACAGATGAGGAATAAATGCACAACTGCTGTCAAAGCAGCAAAACGCAACTATTTCTTATCTCAGACCTCCAAAAATCTAAATGACCCCAACAGATTCTGGAAAACCATCAAATCTCTCTCAGGCACCCCCCAATCATCTGACCTCCCATCACAACTTCTCATTAACTCTGTTCCTGTGTCAAATAAGCACGAGATCCTGAACTGTCTCAACAAACATTTTGTTGCTTCTGGTTCTTTATTTGACACAGTTACTAATGGAAGATCAGCCATTTCACTTAATAACCAAACTTCTACAAATCAAATCCCTCCTACAAGTCAATCCTCAGTTAATCACAGCTTCTCTTTTTCTCCATTCTCAGTCAGTGAGGTCAATAAACTGTTAATAGATCTTGATCCTAAAAAATCTGCAGGTCCAGATGAACTTCCACCTTATTTCTTAAGGCTGGCCGCTCATATCATCACAGTCCCTGTGACCCACATCTTCAATCTCTCCATAAGACAAAACTCCATCCCAGACACTTGGAAAACAGCCTTTGTTCTTCCTTTGCTGAAGGGAGGAGGCCCCACCTCACTGAACAACTATCGACCAATCTCTAAACTCTGCATTTTAGCCAAGGTTCTAGAAAAACTGATAAACTCTCAAATCAAAAATTACCTGGACTCATTTAACATCTTACCTCCACATCAATCTGGTTTCAGGAAACAACACAGCACAACCACTGCTTCACTGAAGGTTCTTAATGATGTTGTTGAAGCACTGGATGCTAAGGATTATTGTGCTGCACTTTTCTTAGACCTGTCTAAAGCTTTTGACACTGTGGATCAGAACATCTTGTGTCATAAACTCTCAGAAATCGGTTTCTCAGATCACACCATTGGTTGGTTCTCTAACTATCTTTCAGACCGGAGGCAATGTGTTCAACATAATGGTACTTCCTCCAGTTATTTAACAGTCAACAATGGTGTACCACAAGGCTCAGTCTTAGGACCCACCCTCTTTACAATCTACATACATAATGTAGGTAAAAACATCCCTAATGCATCCATACATTTCTATGCTGTCGACACAGTTGTTTATTATCGAGCTAAAACTGTTGCTAAGGCTTTCCAGCTTTTGAAATCTGCATTCAACATCATCCAGACTGATTTGTTTCGCCTCAAACTTGTCCTAAATGCCGACAAAATCAAAGGGATGCTTTTTTCAAATAGGAAGTTGGTCCCAGCAGTTCTTCCTCCGATTTTATCCTCAAATGGTGTCCCGATTGAGTTTGTTGATTCCTATAAATAGTTGGGTATCTTGGTCGACTCACATCTCTCTTTTAAGCTCCATGTGGAAAACTTGGTAAAGAAACTGAAAGTTAAACTGGGTTTCTTTTTCAGAAACAGATCCTGTCTAACCCTGAATGCTAGAAAACGCCTTGTATCTGTGACTTTCCTTCCCTCAATTGATTATGGTGATATTATTTACATGAACGCTCCTACAAGAACCCTGCAGATGTTGGATGCTGTCTATCATGGTGCACTAAGATTCATAACTGGCTGTGATTATCGTACCCACCACTGCACACTGTATTCACTAGTTAACTGGACATCATTAACTTCACGCAGACTCTCTCACTGGTATATTTTCATCTTTAAATCACTTCTTGGTCTGTTGCCTTCATATATCTCCTCCTACATGTCTCTGCGTGAGTGCAGCTACGGAGTGCTCTCTTAGGACATTATTACCTGCAGTGTTCTCTCAATGAGGACTGAACTAGGCAAAAGGGCCTTCTCCTATTCCGCTTCTGTTTCCTGGAACATCTTACAAAAAGATTTGAAGCTCTTGACCTTGACCTCTCTAAGTGTCTTTAAGAATCTGTTGGACACCTGGCAGGGTCCAATGCTGACATGTTCCTGTTTTTAGTTTTCTACATTTGTCTTGGAATCTAGCTGTTTTTTGTTTTGTTACTTTTTCCTTTTAGCCATCCTATTTGTTAAAAAAAAACAAAAAACTGTAGTATGCTTTTTTATAACTGTTTATTGTTGTTGCTGTTGTCCATTGTTGTCATCTTTCTTTGTTGAAATCAGGTCTCTCTTGTAAATGAGTCCTCGAGGCTCAATGGGATTTTTCTGTATAAATAAAGGTTGATTGATCTTGTCCTCTTGACTAACCTCTTTCTTTGAATAGCTTCCTGTAATTCAATTTTTCACCACCAGGTTTCCTTATCATTCATTCTATGTCTAGATGACACACCAAGTACCTTCCTACCTGTCTCTGTAATTACTGTTGCTGTAGTAGCCCTGCCATCTGGAAACTCTTTCTTATCACCCATACCCTTTAATCTCCTAATTTCTCACAACATTCTTCTTTTCTCATCTTCCACCATTTGGTCTTCTTCTCTGATTTTACTCTTTTTCTCTTCTTCACAACAACAGTCATTCTACACACAAACATCCAATGCTGTCTGGCCAAGCTCTCCCCTGCCACAACCTTACAGTCCCCAATCTCTCTCAGGTTTCCTCTTCTACATAGAATGTAGTCGACCTGCGTACTCCTTCCTCCACTCTTATAGGTCACTCTATGTTCCTATTTCTTTTGGAAATATGTGTTGACTACAACCATTTCCATTCTCTTTGCAAAGTCCACCACCATCTGTCCTTCCTGGTTTATTTCCTTGACACCAAACCTACCCATCACTTTCTCATCCCCTCTGTTTCCTTTCCCAACATGTCCATTCAGGTCTGCTCCAATAACTACTCTCCTCCCTGAGAATACTCTATATCACTTCATCTAGATCCTTCCAAAATGTATCTGTCTCCTCCACATCACATCCAACTTGTGGAGCATAACCACTGACGATGTTTAGCATCAAACCTTCTACTTCTACCTTCAGGCACATCATCCTATCTGACACTCTCTTCACCTCTACTACATTCTTTGCCAACTACTCCTTCAGGACCACCCCTACTCCATTTCTCTTTCTATCTACACCATGGTCAAACAGTTTAAACTATGGGGTGTCTAACTCACTTACAAAAGGTGGCCAAAATTAAACCCTTTCTCAAACTAAGAGCCAATTTCAGAATCTCAAGTTAGATATCAAACTTTTTTTTTTTGGTTGCAGATTCCTCAACAAAAGTTTGATTGGTCTCATTTGACATTTTCTGTTGCATTTTTGACATCATAATCAAAGATTACTGAAAAAATAAAAGTGATAAAAAGTATTTTACATTTAAAATATCATCTTGGAGGCCAGATAAGATGTCAACGAGGGCATTGGGCCCCGGGGCTTGAGTTTGACACATATGGTATAAACCCTGCTCCAATGCTGCGAGCCTTGCTGCCCTTCCACTTGGTCTTTTGGACACATAAAACATCTACCTTCCTTCTCTGCATCATGTCAGACAGCTCTCTACCTTTGCCTGTTATTGTCCCCACATTTAGAGTTGCAACCCTCAGTTCTACATTCTTGACTTTCCTCTTCTCCCTCTGTCTCCTGACATGTTTCCCTCCTCGTGGTCTTTGACTAACAGAAGCACAATTTCCGCCGGCACCCTGTTTGTCAACAGCACTGGTGGCGGTCATTGTTAACCCAGGCCTCGACCGATCTGGCATGGTTTCGCTTTGATGAGCTTGCATTGTAATTTTGGCAAAAGTGTTTTACATCCAATGCTGTTCCTGACACACCCCTCATCATTTACCTGGGCTTGGGACCAGCACAAGAGATGCACTGGCTCGTGCTCCCTAGTGGCTGGTTCAAATAAGCTACAAAATAATTTAAAAATGAAAGTAGCAGCCAGGTGCAGCTGATCAAATGATCATCATCAGTGTGTGAGAAGTGCTAGCCTTACCTGATAGAAGCACTTTAAATTCAAGTAGTATAGCCAAGTTTTATTTTTTTGTTGTTTATTGGTCGCTTCTTCAAAGGTAAGGGTAACTCCAGTCTATTGTTTGTTTTTTTTTTTTTTTGTTTTTTTTTTCCAACTTTTACATTCAGTCTACATGTTAACACTAGATGATATAAATATGTATTTCTTTCCTTGCCACGGCAGTGATCCTCTCTTCTCGGCGCAGCGGCTCCCCCCCCACGGTTACCCTCTGGAGCATCCATTCAATAAAGATGGGTATCGGTACATCTTGGCAGAACCAGATCCTCATGCTCCAGACCCAGAGAAACTGGAGCTAGATTGTTGGGCAGGCAAACCCATTCCTGGTGACCTGTACCGGGCCTGCCTGTATGAGAGGGTGCTTCTAGCCTTACATGACAGAGGTACTTAAAGTCAAGTAGTCCTTTTAAAGAGTTGTGAAGATTCCTTACTGTAGAGATAGTCTTGAGTTTTATGTTTATACTGTTTCATTTGATTTTGTTTCATGCATTACATGATGTGTTGCAGCACCTCAGTTGAAGATCTCAGATGACCGCCTGACAGTGACGGGAGAGAAAGGGTATTCCATGGTCCGAGCCTCTCATGGTGTGCGGAAAGGCTCCTGGTATTTTGAGGTTTCAGTGGATGACATGCCTCCAGAGACTGCAGCTAGGCTCGGCTGGTCTCAGCCACTTGGTCAGTAGTGCTTCACATTCACACAGACACCTAAGGCATGCTGGTGATGTTCTACATGTTAAACACCACCTTAAAGGTGAAAGATTCAAGTCTGACTGGTGTTTGAACTTGTTTTAATGTCAGAAGAGTTAACTCATTATTCCATGGTTATATTTCAGGTAACCTACAGGCACCTCTGGGCTACGACAAGTTCAGCTACTCATGGCGCAGCAAAAAGGGCACCCGTTTTCACCAATCAATAGGCAAACATTACTCCTCAGGCTATGGCCAGGGGGACACGCTGGGTTTCTTCATAGAGCTCCCTGACGGCACAGAGACAGCCAAGGCTCTACCTGACACATACAAGGACAAGGTAGATGCTTTAAGAACCAACTCTGCTAAACTAGCTGCACAAAACTTCATCACGAACACAACAGACCTCAAATAAAAACCTCAAATAAGCTCTAAATATTCAAAAGCAAACTCAAAGTACAAAGTTTGTTTTCTCAGTCATCCAGGTATGTAACAACAAAAAAGGT